CATGAATAAATAAATAAAATCTTTAAAAAAAAAAAAAGACTATTCTTCTTGCCCACTGTTCACAACACAAATTGAACTGAGTAAATTTGAGGATCAAGTTGGCTTTATGCAACAACTCATGTATGGGGCAGTAGACAGACCATCTAGCAATAGAAAAGAGCTCTGCTGAGCTGTAGAAAAGGAAAAGTTTTGGGGCGCCTGGGTGGCTCAGTCGTTAAGCATCTCTGCCTTGGCTCAGGTCATGATCCCAGCGTCCTGGGATCGAGCCCTTCATCGGGCTCCCTGCTCAGCGGGAAGACTGCTTCTCCCTCTCCCACTCCCGCTGCTTGTGTTCCGTCTCTCGCTGTGTCTCTCTCTCTGTCAAATAAATAAATAAAATCTTAAAAAAAAAAAAGGAAAGGAAAAGTTTTAGAAGGCAGAAGGTGGGGGTTGTCTGGGTGGCTCGGTTAACCGTCTGACTCTGGATTTCTGTTCAGATCATTATCTCGGGGTCCTGGGATTGGGCCCTGTGTCAGCTCCACTCCTCTGGCCCTCCCCCCACTTGTGTTCTCTCTCCTTTCTCAAATAAATAAAATCTTTTTTAAAAAAGTAAGATTTATAACTTTAAGAGAAATAATGTAAATTTTAAAAAAATTTTTTTTAAAAGCAGAAAGGGGACAGTAAAAAAATTATTTGCAAAGAATGTATACTTGCAGGCAAGGTCTCCTTCCTAAGGAGAACAGAAGGGCTCTATCTGGCAGATTATTTCACTAGTGCTGACCAGGTAACCCTATGGTGACTGGTTAAAGGCTACATTCTGGGGGGTGGGGGGTGGGTTTGAAGCTGCAGTTAGGTTAGGTATTAAGTTTTGGTTTGCTGATGTAGGGCTTAGTACAAGTGATTCCCTTTGGGACCTGTTGTCGCTCTCTTTTTTTAAGATTTTATTTATTTATTAGAGAGAGAGAGCACAAGTAGGCAGAGTGGCAGGCAGAGAGAGAGGGAGATGCAGGCTCCCCACTGAGCAGAGAGCCCGATGTGGGACTTGATCCCAGGACCCTGGGATCATGACCTGAGCCGAAGGCAGACGCTTAACCGACTGAGCCACCCAGGCGCCCCGTTGTCTCTTTTTTAACACAATAAATAATCACTTTATTTTTAGATTTATTTATTTATTTGAGAGAGAGAGAAAGAGAGACCATGAGTGGGGTGGGGGGAAGGGGCAGAGGGAGAGGGAGAGAAAATCCCCAAGCAGACTCCCCACTGAGCTTGGAGCTTGACATGGGGCTTGATCCCAGGACCCCGAGATCATGACCTGAGCCGAAATCAAGAGTCAGACCCTTGGGGCGCCTGGGTGGCTCAGTCGTTAAGCGTCTGCCTTCGGCTCAGGTCATGATCCCAGGGTCCTGGGATTGAGCCCTGCATCAGGCTCCCTGCGCGGCGGGAAGCCTGCTTCTCCCTCTCCCACTCCCCCTGCTTGTGTTCCCTCTCTCGCTGTGTCTCTCTGTCAAAAATAAAAAAAAAAAAAAAGAGTCAGACCCTTAACTGACTGAGCCACCCAGGCGCCCCAATAATCACTTACATTTCTGAAAACACAGGGCTGTCTCTAGTCTAAAAAAACAATTCTCACATTGTTAAAAATGTCATTGTCAAAAGATTAATACCTTTAAGAAATTAAAGAAATAATTCTCATACCAATAAAGAGCAAGCTTATTTGTTAATGAAGGAACTAACAATATGACAGAGCTGGTTTGGAAAGAATTTGGGAAGAGTAAAGAATACTGAGTTATGATTGCTGATCATATTTCATGTCCTATAGGATAATACAACTGTAATCTTTGGGATTATTTCCTTCATCAGACATGCAAAAATTATTGCATCTTATCAGTTTCCTACAAGCTAACTTGTAACTTTACAGAGTTAGAAAACATCACTGGATGCTAATCAATTGCTAGTCAAAGTTAAATTTCCCCAGAGAGTCAGATGGCTCTTATGTGGGTTTACGAGCAATTCTCTAGCATGATATTAAAAAGTCATGCAGTCACCATAAAACATATTTTCAGATACTAGATCATTTCCCTCCACACTAGTTTTCATTATTCCATGTTTAATGAAGACAAGAAATATATTCATTTCCTGTTAACTCTACCTAAGAAAAACAACAGCACAATATGGTGATAAATGGCAACTGCCTTTAAGCCTCAACAGGGAGTGGTGGGGACTGTGGCAAGCCACAACACCATGTCCCATCTAAAGGCGAAAGTTGCTCTGCAGTTCCAGCCATCTGTTGCCATGTGGGAGGGCGTGTCCTGTATTGATGTATCTCCCCATTTTTAAAAGAATCTGGAAATTTAAAAAATGTCTGTGAAAGCTCTCAATTTTTAAATGTTGGCAATCAGTTCAAATTGCTCTAAAATACTGTGAAGGCCAACAGAATGAGGGAAAGAATGAAAGGAAAGTCCTACTGAATCTAGCCTGAGCCAGTGTCACTATCTGACCTAGAACAATACCTTCTTACAGGAAGACTGAGGCCTAAAGAAAGGAAACATTTAACCCCACACCATGAGGTGAGTTTGGGCCAGATGGGACTTTGAGCCCAAGTCCCTGGATTCCCAGGTAGAAGCTTTTTCCAAAAGGCAAACATAAGTATTTCCTTTGTCTCCCACCAAGTGCTTCATGTTTTATTTGCTGACTAACCAAATAAAAATGACTAGTATGAATGCTTGTAGTACCCTTAGGTAAAAGTTCGAGCCAGTGTGATGAGCCCACTGTTGCATAGGATTTGCATGGGCCCTAGCCTGCATTCTACCATTATTTATTATAATAATAGCACTAGCTACCATTTTTGAGCACTAGTTCTGTACCAAGCTCTGTGTTTTACTCACATCATATCATTTAGTCTTGTGATAACCATATGATATAGGTACTACTATTACCTCCATTGAGGCTCAGAAAAGTAAAGTCACTTGCTCAAAGCCATAGCCCCCCATATTTATGGCTCCAAAGTTGATGGTTTTAACCACTGGGCTATACTATTGTTAACTCATTCATTCATTCATTCAGTGAATAGGTCAGTCAGTCAATCAAATAGTTACAGTGTGGTGGTGCCAGATGCTAAGCCAGGCATTATGGGGGAATACAGTTCAAGTTCCAGTCTAAAGCCCGGAGGCTGAGGCTAACTGGATTCATATTCAACCCACACCCTATTCTTCAAATCCAAATAACAAGTGGTTCTTGAAACACACAGACGGTTGGGCTATGTAATTTATACTTCAACAAAGTTCATTTATTTATTTTTTTTTAAAGATTTTATTTATTCATTTGACAGAGAGAGAGAGAGCGAAAGCAGGAACACAAGCAGGGGGAGTGGGAGAGAGAGAAGCAGAGCAGGCTTCCCACGGAGCAGGAAGCCCAATGCAGGGCTCGATCCCAGGACCCTGGGATCATGACCAGAGCCAAAGGCAGACGCTTAACAGTTGACTGAGCCACCCAGGCGCCCCGACAAAGTTGATTTAAAAATGAGAAGTAACAATCACCTCTAAATGTTTAGAGATCCTGTTCAAATGAAAAGACTGTGCCAATGCACACAATTTAGTAGACTAGATTGACTGAGGACCAGCCCCACTAGTAGGAGGAATACAATGGCTAACTGCTAGGATAAAGGTTTGCACTTTAAACCTGAACTCAGTGGGTAGACAAATCCTACAGACACGAAGAGAATTGTGCCTTAGCCACCAGGTGCATCTTGAATTCTACAAAGACAGACTGGAGGGATGAAGACGACTTGGGAGGTTATTACGTGGAAAAAGAGGAGGAATGAGTAATGAAATTATTTCCAGGTACATTCAGCAGGAGTAAAGTATAAATACCCAGATGTCACTTAAACTCTCTGGAACCAGGTTCCCAGCAGGCTCTTCATTAAAGAAAACAGTGTGATGGAAAGAGAGGACTTTTGGGGGCTCAAATCCTAGTTCTTCAACATTCTAACCCCGTGCAAGGGTACATGTAACATCTCAGGACCTCAATTTCTTGATTGGCAAAGTGGGTATAATAATATCTACCTGCTAAGGTTCTTGTAAGGGAGAAACAAATGGTATAATATATATCAAGCACTTGGTATATGGAATATGACACATATTCAGTGTTCATTTCTTTCCTCGGTTTCCTTGTAGCTACAAGTGGAGTTGGCATATATGTACTTACCTGTTACGGGGCAGAGGAGAGCAAATAGACAGCGTTTGTCTCCATACAGTACCATGAGAAACCTCACAGTGGTGTTCTGAGAGCACTACAAATTTTGAAAGTGGTTTTCAACTGTCAGAGAAAGATTATATTTTTACTGGGTTGAATGAGAAGGAAGAACTTCTCCTGGACAAAAGCCCTGGTCCGAAGAGAGCTGGGCATCCATAACAAGTCCCTTGTCTCTCGCTTCAACTCCTCATCTATAGAATAGGGATGGTCCTCCTTGTCCACCTTAGAGAAGTGTTTATAGGGTACTGGCTGTCAGAGGGGTTGCGAAGCTCATCCACCGCGCACGGAACCCTTCCGTGTTTGCGGCTCCGTCCTCTGCCATAGGGCTGTGAGCACCTCAGCGAGCGTCGAGTCTGACCCTCACTCTCCTAGTCACACTGTGCACTTCCCACCAGGAAGTCCTTCTTTTACGTTCATTGCTTTAAAATGTATCTGTATTTACCCCTACAGTGCACCTTCTTCGTTTTCCTTAGTGATTGGCTGCAGATTATCTTAACGTTATTGGTTAAAGCATCTGCCCGTTATCTTTTCCAGGACCCGGTGGGGGAAATGGGTGGGGGGAAGACAGAGAGAGTGTCATAAATTTAGCTCTTTTATTGGCTCCGGTGGGGACGTACGGCGAGGGCGTGGGCGGTTCAAATTTGTGATTGGTTCTTATGTCCGTCAATCATGCTGCCGGAACTCAAGTCTCCCGCCCGAACTATGCCCGGTTGGCTGTTGGAGACGGGAGCCCGCCCCTCGCTCGGTTGCCGTAGCTGCAGGCCGGACCCGCCCGCTCGCCCGCTGACAGCGAGGCTTTGGGCGGAGGAAGCGGGTCGGTTGGTCGGTCGGGAACGAGGCTCCGGCGGCCAGGACCGCGCGGAGCCGTTGCCATGGCAGCCGCCGCCGGGGGCGCGGATGACGAGCCGCGCTCGGGCCGCTCGAGCTCGGAGGGCGAGTGCGCCGTGGCGCCGGAGCCGCTGACGGGCCCCGAGGGCCTCTTTTCCTTCGCGGACTTCGGCTCCGCGCTGGGCGGCGGCGCGGGCCTCCCGGGCCGGGCATCTGGCGGGGCCCAGTCCCCGCTGCGCTACCTCCATGTCCTGTGGCAGCAGGACGCGGAGCCCCGCGATGAGCTGCGCTGTAAGATCCCCGCCGGGCGGCTGAGGCGCGCCGCCAGGCCCCACCGGCGGCTCGGGCCCACGGGCAAGGAGGTGCACGGTGAGGAGCGCGGCGGGAGGCGGGGCCCTGACCTCCCCTGACCCCGACCAGGACGGGGTACTCGCACGACTGAGCTCCGGGCCCACAGTGACCCCTCAGTCTCCTTCCAGTAGTAATCAGGCTGTAGAGCGGCTAAGGACCGTGAATGTGAAAGAGACGGTCTTGAAGCACTTGGTAATTCCTGAATAGAAACTTTTCATGACTCCAGGCGTTTATTAGTAGATTAAAAAAAAAAAAAAAAAAAAGGTTGGGGTACTGGCGAATGCTTTTATTATCAGAGAAGGGAGGCCAGAGCCTGTAGCCAAGTTCTACCAACTTGTTTAAATGCACAGACCGGGATTGGACTCCTCTACCTCGTTGAAGCCTCAGGCAAACTGTAGAACCTTTCAGCCTTAGTTTTCTCGTCTGTAAATGAGTGCAATACTTGCTTTACAGGGATGTTGCCAGAGTTAAGTAAGATGATGAATCTGTAGCAATTATTCTGCTTTTGTTGTGTGACAAACACTGTTGGGTGGTATGTGATCATTTTTAATCCTCACAATAACTCAATGAGATCCAGATACTGTCCCCATTATATGCAAGAGGAAACTGAGGCTTGGAGAGATTGCCTTGCTCCAAGTTACAGAGCTAGTTAAGTGGCTGTCCTGGAATCAGAACCCACCTCTGCCAGACTCAAACTCCTGTTCTTTTATGTCCACTGTATTGTCTTTTACATGTTGTGGATGACATGGAAACCAAGGCCCTGGAAGATTTAAGAATGGGGCTTTTTAGTGTCCCCTTTAGGACTATCTGTGATTCTGCCCATATCTTAGTGATGCTGTAGAGACTAAATGAGATTTTGAAAGTGCTATATAAACCATAAAGTGCTATACAAAAGTAAGGAATCATTAAATGTATCTGGGTTGCAATTTTGACCATTTCTCCAATGACAAAGGCATTGTTCTCTATTAGCCTCTAATACAGAGATAGTGTCATTGTAGTAGAAAAACGTTTCTGCTTAGGAATTACCAAATTTAAGTAAGTTATTTGGGAATGGCCTCTTTTGGAGAATCTAAGATTATCCGTGTAACCGACTAACAGAGCTTCAATCTAAACATTTCATTTTGTCTTTACAACAACTCCAGGCTGTTAGGTCAGGGCTCAACTTTTTTTTTTTTTTCCTTCAGGTGATAAACCTGAGGCCCAGGAGGGTTAACTCACTTGCTCAAGGTCACCCAGCTACTATAAGAGGCAGAGCCAAGATCTGGCTCCAAAGGCCTTGAAGGATTTGCTACAGAATGTGGCTCTGCCACGTTTCCAGTCTTTCCTTGTTCCCAGTGTCTCTTGTATCCTGGTGCCTTTCTTTCCCTTTAGATGCTGTCGTGGGTGAACTATGGATTAACTAGGCAGCCATCCACTTTCAGCTTCATCATGACTGTTTTATTTTGTTTTTAACTGGAACTCTTTTCCTCTTCTTCACAGCTCTGAAGAGGCTGAGGGACTCGGCCAATGCCAACGATGTGGAAACAGGTGAGTGTGCAAAGCCAGGTCTAGCTCTGTGGGCTGGTTAGGGAAAGCAAAATCCAGGCAACCCATTCCTGGGAAGACAGTGCTTGAATTCAGTATGCCCGCTCACCCTGTGGACTAGGCTCATTGTATATATTCTATAACTATAATCATGTCTCAGAAGATAAGTCTGACTTAGATGCTTACTCTTCCCGTGCTTTTCTGTCACCCTGAACTTCCTGATGTCGTAGTGTTGATCACTCTGTTGGCTCCTTGATGTTGGGACCATGGCAGCCAGCAGCAGGGTAGGAGCTTTTTAGAACTTCCGGGTCCTGGGAATGGACAGTCAGCTTTAGCTGCCAGCAGAGCCACTGTCAGAACAGAGCCACCACCTTCAACTGCTCACCGAGGCTTTGTGGTAGTTGGGCCAGTGGTTGTTTAAGTTGACAGAACTTCGGACGGGAATGGGAGGGGCTCCCAGCAGGACGCCACTCTGGTTTTCTGTTGTTGCTCCCCAGTGTTCATTGGCTGACAGGACAGTAGCAGCATCAGAGGTACAAGGACAAGTTCTAGGGGAAAACTTGTAATTTTATCCAGATCTGAGTTTTCTACGGCTGCTGCAACAAATTACCACACACATAGTGGTTTAAAACAACACAAATTTCTTTTTAAAAATATTATTATTATTTTTTAACAACACAAATTTCTTAGCACATAATTCTGGAGGTCAGAAATCCAACACAGGTCTCACCACGCTGAAAGCAAGATGTCAACAGGGTTGCATTTCTTTCTGGAGGCCCTAGGGGAGACCCTGTTTCCCTAACTTTTCCAGCTTTTAGGAGCCACGCACACTCCGTGGCTCATAGTCTTCTCCCTCCATCTTCAGCAACAGTTGACTGAGTCCTCACACTGCTGTGTCTCTGGTTCACACAGCAGGGAAATGTGCTCTGATTTTAAGGACTCATGTGATTAGTTTGGGCCTGAATAATCCAGGATGACCTTTCCAGCTCAAGGTCCCTAACCTTATTCATATCTGCAAAGTCTTTTTTGCTGCATAAGGTAACATGTCCAGTAAACTCTGAGGATTAGGACATGGACATCTTGGGGGCCATGATCCTACCTACCTCAAGTGGACATCATTCTGTTTTGATGGTGGTGGTGTGCTACGGTCAACAGAGAAGACGTGAGCGTCGCTTGAGAGCCATGGGATCAGAGAGCCCATTTACAGCCGGTGTGGAGAGGAAGTCATTTACCTCAGGGGGCTGGGTGTTAAACTGTGGGCCTTAAAATGGTTCCCTTACCCCAGCTCTCTTCACTTTGGTCTCTTTTCCGTGAACTTTAATATTTTGGAATATTTGAGCAGCAACCTAGATAGCTTTTCAAGGAAAAATGATAAGTGTTCTCTTTTGAATATCTCTAGCGTGTGGCCGGAGAATATTTGAATTATACTTCCCTTCCACAGAAAGCCTAGTTCATCTTGAATCAGGTACTCACATGGTGGTTTCAGTGTTTTGACAGAAATGCTGTAATGTTCCAGTCAGAGTCTCTAACACACCCATGTTCAAATCTAAACGGCTCTCAGATTGACCAGGCTCTTGCAGGACTCTGCTGGTGACCCTGGCTGTGGGGTTAGGCTCTGCTCCTTTTCTCTTATGGTTTGCATTTCCTTTTCCTTCTCTGCACGTTTGTTGGGTTTTTGGTGTAGTTAAGCAGTTGTAATGGACACAAAATTGATGCCCTGCTATTGTCAAATCATTTAAAATGTTTGGGAGATGAGGGAAATATGCAGGAAAAACATCCATAAACAGCACAGGAACTAACCTCTGTAAATAGGTTGGTGACTATCCTGGTCCTTTTTCCTATGCAGAGAAATTTTTCTTTATGGGCTTACAAACTGTGCCGGATACACAAGTTTGTATCCCGCACAACTTTTCATAGTTTTTGTAACCATTCATTTTTTTTCAAAAGGGAAACGTCTTTTTTTCCCTATTGACAGAAGGACAACATGGCTGTATGTTTTTTTTAAGCTTATAAGGTAAAAAGCAGAAATTACCCTATAATTCCATTCTCAATTATAACCATAATTTGTAATGGATGCCCACTATGCCTTCAGAGGAACAAAGCAAGAGTTATTTAGTCAGTCATATATTTGCACCATGGTTTTTCTTTTGGTGGGGAGGGCAGAGGGAAAGGGGGAGAGAGAGAATCTTTTTTTTTTTTTTAAGAGAGAATCTTAATCTTTTTTTTTTTTAAAGATTTTATTTATTTATTTGAGAGAACGAGAATGAGAGAGAGAGAGAGCACATGAGAGGGGGGAGGGTGAGAAGGAGAAGCAGACTCTCCGCTGAGCAGGGAGCCCGATGTGGGACTCGATCCCGGGACTCCAGGATCATGACCCGAGCCGAAGGCAGTCGCTTAACCAACTGAGCCACCCAGGCGCCCGAGAATCTTAATCTTAAGCAGGTTCCATGCTCAGCACGAAGCCTGACGTGGTGCTCGATCTCACAACCCTGAGATCATGACCTGAACTGAAATCAAGAGTCGGGCACTTAACCTACTGAGCCCCAGTTTTTCATTTTTAAGATAATTTCCCAGGTATGGGGTTATCACATCCAAAGGTGTGCATATTTTGATGACTTCTCGGAGTGCTTTCCAAGAAGACTCACTGCACAAGTCCTAACCGAGAGGGGACTCTTTTAGCTTTCACTTACCTCTTTGGCCAGCTAGCTTTTGGTGAACGTACTGAGCTGACTGGAAGCTCTTCTTTCTCTTCCACTCTCATAAACCTTTTCCTACCACCTTTATTCATTTCTTCAATCAGTCAACAGCGTTCATGGAGCTGAACGAGTCCGATCTTGATCCTAGGTATTAAGATAAACAAAACGATAGAATTGGAGACAAAGAATATAAAGTGATACCATTTTTCTAAAACAAAACCCCCAGAAAAACTGAAGTTATGTATTTAGTTGGAGAGGCAGAAGTTCTGGGGCTAGAGAAGCCTGGGTTTCTATTCCCAGCTTTGCCTCCTGGTAGCCGGGTGAGTGTACCTGGGGCCCTTCACAGAATGGGACACTTCTCCTGGTTTGTGAAATGGACACAATGCTTGGCTGGGTGGGCAAGGGGCTTAGCAGACAGGTGCCTGGTGCCAGGCTGGTGCTCGACGTGCGCTCCAACGCTCTAAAGTGGCACAGCCGGTTCACGTTCGAGTAGCAGGGTGAACAGGGCCCTGAGGAGACGCGGGAGCTGGGGTGGCCACCTGAGCCTGAGGAGAAAGAGGAGGAGGGGATTCTGGGCTTGGTCTGGAGTCCTCGAGAGATTTGCTGGCGGAGACTAAACTGTTGGTGGCTCTAAAATGATGTTTGGCAGCAATTTCTACATTTCAGTTGGACATACGCATGTGGCACGTAATGCCTCACAGTTTATAATGGCTCCATGTTTTGCAGAGAAGGCATCTCACATCCATTATTCTCATCATAGCAGCTCTGGAGATGGGCAGGGCGATTATTCCCATTTGCTGGTGAATTGGGACCCAAATTCAGGGCTTCCTACTCCCAGCCCAGCTCTTTCCACTGCCGCATGCTGTTGGCAACGTACTCCTTTCTTCGTTACTCAGCTTAGCCTGGGACTTAGTCGGTGCGGCTCCACGTCTGCACTCTGGCCTCTCCAGCGGGCCACCTCCCAGGAGCAAAGGAGGCATTGCCCAACAGCTCAGGCAGCTGTGTCTGACTGGAGTGGATGTGTATCCAAGTAGATGTGAGGCCAGAGTCTGTGCTCGGGATTTCTGTGACTCTAGAACTCCTGACTGAGGGCCAAGACCCTTCTATGATGTTCTGTCCCTAGACTCAGAGTTTGAGCAGCCAGAATCTGTGGTCCTCAGTCATGCCCTCAGGAGAACAAGTCCCTTGTCTTGGCATCTCCTGTGAGGCCGGCATCCAAGCGGGAAGAGCTCTCCCCTGCCTTCTCAATGCCTTGCCGGGAAGTGCCCCTGAGCATCCTTCTTCACGCCCTGGGGGCCGCCGCTTAGCTAGCATTGCCTCTCTGTCCCCCTGCCCCTCTGTCTTGGTGGTGTCAGTGCAGCAGCTTCTGGAAGATGGCGCCGATCCCTGCGCAGCTGACGACAAGGGCCGCACAGCTCTGCACTTCGCCTCCTGCAATGGCAACGACCAGATCGGTGAGTCCTGGGCAGGAGGGAGGGAACAGGGCTGGCTGAGGAGCATCTCTCCAGAGGTGCTGGGGAAGATCTGCTGTCTGCACAGCCAGGCTTGGGGCCAGAACTTCAAGACATTCAGGCAACATTTACTCAGAGCCAAGGGCACCAGCAGGACAAACCTCCTTCCCCCTTTTTAAAGTCCTTTTCGCATGTGGTATAACTTATAAATGGTGAGCTTTCTGTATCTATGCCCTGGCATTACCACCACTGGGAACAAGATAATATCTTCAGGAGGAGTGCCTGGGTGGCTCAGTCGGTTAAGCGTCTGCCTTCGGCTCGGGTCATGATCCCAGGGTGCTGGGATCGAGCCCCCCATCGGGCTCCCTGCTCAGCGGGGAGCCTGCTTCTCCCTCTCCCACTCCCCCTGCTTGTGTTCCCTCTCTTGCTGTGTCTCTCTCTGTCAAATAAATGAATAAAATCTTTAAAATGGAAAAAAAAAGATTATTTTCAGGAGCACCCGGCTGGCTCAGGCATTAGCTCATGTGACTCTTGATCCCAAGGTCATGAGTTCAAGCCCCATGTTGGGTGTAGGGCCTACTTTAAAAAAAAAAAAAGAAAGAAAGAAAGAAAAAAGAATAGTTTCAGCACCCCAGCAGCCTACTGATGCCCCTTCCAGTCCTTACCCCGGTATAGACCTTGTTCACCATAGATGAGTTTTCTTGGTTTTGAATTTCACATAAATGGAAGCATAGAGTATGTACTCTTTTGTATTCTCTTTCACTCAAACTTACATCCCTGAGATTCATCCCTGAATGTTGTTTGTATCAGGAGTTTCTTCTTTCTTCTTGCTGGATGGTATTTCATTGTGTGATGTCCCACAGTTCACCCATTCTACTGTTGATGGACGTTTATATGGTTTCCAGGTTTGGGCTTTTATGAATACACTGTTGGGAACATTCTTGTACCTGCGACTTGTGGATATAAGCATTTAACTGTGTTAGCTATTGTCTCGGGCGTGGAGTTGCTGGCTCACCAGGGAACAAGTACATCTAGCTGTAGTACGTACTTCCACCCTGTTTCCCCTCGTGGCTGTCCTAGTACACACTCCCACCAGCAGTGTAAGAGTTCCACATTTTCTCCCAGCCTTGCTGGTGCCTGGTATTGTCTCTTTTTAATTTTAGCCATTCTGGCATGGTGGCATCTCATTGTGGTTTAATTTTCGTTTCTCTTGTGGCCCCAAATGTTGAGCATGTATATATTGGCCATTTTTGTATCTTTTTTTGTGAAGTTCCTGTTCAAGTCTTTTGTCCGCGTTTTATTTTAATTTTATCTTTATTTTTTTTAAACTTTGTCCACGTTTTAAAACAAGCTGCCTGGTTGTCTTTTGTAATTATTGATTTGTAGAAATTCTTTATATATTCTGGATACAAATCATTTATCAAATATAAATGACTTAACTTTTCTGATCTTGCCTTGTTCTCTGAGTGGTGTCTTGATGAACCCAAGTTCTTAATTTTAATGAATCCAATGTATCCATCTTTTCTTTTTTATGGTTGACATTTCTGTGACCTCTTTAAGAAATCTTTGCCTATCCCAAGGTCATGGAGATATAGTCTTGTTTTCTTCTACAAGCCGGACTTAGAGCTTTCACATGTAGGTCTGTGATGCGTCTCCCATTTGTTTCTGTACATGGTGTGCAGCTCAGCCTGGCCACGTCATGTGCATTAATCTACCTGCACGTTCATCTGGATAACTGATGTGCCCTGGAGACACCACAGCCCACCCTAGAGGTGGCATAGAGACTCAGGGAGGGGGATGATCAGCATCATCCCTGATTCCCACTGTGGTACTTGGCTGTGGAAAGAGTAGAAAGTGTCCTTGAGATCCTTCACTAGCAGCCACTGCTATTGAAAGAACTTTCTTTAGGGGTGCCTGGGTGGCTCAGTCGTTAAGCATCTGCCTTCGGCTCAGGTCATGATCCCAGGGTCCTGGGATCGAGTCCCACATCAGGCTCCCTGCTCAGCAGGAAGCCTACTTCTCCCTTTCCCACTCTCCCTGCTTGTGTTCCCTCTCTCGCTGTCTCTCTCTCTGTGTTAAAAAATAAATAAAATCTTAAAAAAAAAAAAAGAAAGAACTTTCTTTAATGCTTAAAAGCTCATTCCTTTCGTAGTCCTGCATAGGCCAGAAGGCTCTCCCAGAATCCTCAGTCCCTGGCCCTCAGAGTCCTGCACATAAACCCTATGAGGGAGTGAGCGAATGAATAAATGAATGACTGAATGAATGAGCAAAACAACATAGAGAACCATGTTGCTTTCAGTGTCCCACACTTTGAGGAAGCCTCTTTAGCTAGGTTAGGGATGGGGGTTAGGGTCCAGTCCATAGAAGTCCTCCAACAGCTCCTCGTGGGTTTTCCTATTTCCAGTGCAGCTGCTCCTGGACCATGGGGCTGATCCCAACCAGCGAGATGGGCTGGGGAACACGCCACTGCACCTGGGTAAGTGCCTGAGAAGCCTCCAGCACACCCTCCTCTGCAGCACAGGTGGGCTCCTCTGATGGAGAGCCTGGAGTCCTGCAAGCTGCCAGCAGGATCTCCTGTCATCTGGGGAGAACCTGAGCCCCGGGGGCCCCCCAGGCTGTGTCCCCTGGCCTTCCCCTTCGGTCACCAGGGGGCCATGCCTGGGCACAGCTGCGTGATCAGCAGGGCTCTGCTAGGGAAGGTGAGCCTGCAGCCTGTGGTTGTCCTGTGGCTGCCCCATGGCTGCCCCACACTGTGGCTCACGGTGAGGCAGGTCCCATCTCCCAGCCTCAGTCTCCCTAGCTGTACAGGGAGGGAGTTGGACCCACCCCATGGCTGCCTTGGTGATGCCGTCTCTGGAGGTGTGACCCGAAGCGGGCACACTTGGGAGTCACAGTCCTGCTCCCTCGGAAGGGCATGCAGGGCCAAGCCCTGGTGTCCTGGACTCTCAGGTCCCTGTTCTTCTTCCTCAGCGGCCTGCACCAACCATGTCCCTGTCATCACTACCTTGCTACGAGGAGGTATGTGCTCCCTTCCCCTTTGCCCTCCTCCCTTGCCCTCACGCCCCCCGTGGTTACCTTGGCCTGCTCCCGCAGGGGCCCGCGTGGATGCCCTGGACCGGGCTGGCCGCACGCCCCTGCACCTGGCCAAGTCGAAGCTGAACATCCTGCAGGAAGGCCACTCCCAGTGCCTGGAGGCTGTGCGGCTGGAGGTGAAGCAGGTGAGTGCCCCTCGTGCTGGGCCAACAGCAGCGAACAAGCACTGGGCAGGTGCCGCCTCCAGCCCGAGGGTTCCTGGGTGATTCAGGCCGACCCCGTTTGGCTTCTGCTCCACCGGCAGCGCTCTGGGGGCCGCCTAGCTAGAACCCGAGCGGCTCAGCCCCGCCCCTCGTTCCAGATCATCCAGATGCTAAGGGAGTACCTGGAGCGCCTGGGGCGGCACGAGCAGCGGGATCGGCTGGACAGCCTCTGCACCCGCCTCCAGATGACGAGCACCAGAGAGCAGGTGAGCGGCAGCTGCAGGGCCCGGCCCGGTGCCTGGCAGGAGCCCCGGGGCCAGTCCGTCCGTGCTGTGACACGGCTAGCCACTCCCATAGAGAGAGGCCACAGCTGGGGGCTTGCTGCTCACTGTGGACCTCAAAGCCTCTGTCCACTTCCTTTGAAGCTCCTCATGCCCCGTGGCTCTTGTCTCTGGGGCAGTCTGAGACCACCTGGAGTCAAGGATTATCGGTCAGGCGGCTGTTCCGTAGTTACCACAGTGAAGCCACCACATGTCCTGGGACGAGAGGCCATGCCTACCCTCCACGTCTGTGGCCTGGGGTAGAGATCTGGGGGCCAAGACACCTGGGTCTGTCGTGGCACCTGTGACGGGGCCTTGGTTTTGTCCCACAGGTGGATGAAGTGACTGACCTCCTGGCCAGCTTCACGTCCCTCAGCTTGCAGATGCAGAACATGGAGAAGAGGTAGCAAGAGAGGCTGCCTGCCTTCCCGCTCTGCTGCTGCCCCGCCCCTGTCCCCACCGCTCTCTCGGTACCAAGAAAAAGCCCAGTGCCTGGGACTTTGGAGCTGCACTTATCTGGTGAGGCCCTTGCCCCCAGATGCCACAGAGCAGAGATGCTCTCTCACCAACTTCAGAGCCACTCCCAGCCACGGCCTGTACCATCTCTGTAGGCCGGGACCACACCCCCAGCTTCTTCCTCTGCTCCCATGGCACTGCAGCCACGCCTCAGCTCTGGCCGCCGTGCACTGTCCTAGCCGGCCTCACATGTCTCGGGGCCTCCCCGGCACCCTCGGCAGGCCCCAGACCCTTCTCTGTGTCCCTTCCCGGCCAGGGGCTTGTTGCGGCTGGCAGGGTGTGGGCTGAAGGCAGGCACCCTCGGGGGCTTCTTGGCTGGCCCTGCACTCCCCACCAGCACTTAGATTTAGACTTGTCACCTGACTTTCAAGGAGACATCGCAGTGAGTTTCTGTGGTTGAAAGGGAGGGTTGGTGAAGCCTAGACCTTAGAAATACAAGGTTAGGAAGGACCCTGCGGAACCCAAAACAGAAAAGCCCCAGCCTTTTTCACCCAGTCGTTGAAATACCTGGAGGGTGAGGCGGTCCGTTCTGCAGCCTAGTTGTAGTAGGCTGAATAGTGGCCCCCCCGAGATGTCCGTGTTGTTATCTGAGGAACCTGTGAATATTACTTTATCAGGCAAAAGGGACTTTGCAGTTATAATTACATTAATGATCTTTGGACCAGGAGACTCTCCCAGCCTACCCCGGTGGGCTTCATGTAATCACAGGGATCCTTACGGGAGGAAAGCAGGAGGTCAGAGAGGCAGTAGGAGATACAGCCGGAGGGGGTCAGAGCTGAGGAATGCAGGCACCCACAGAAGCTAGAACAGGCAAGGAAATGGATGTTCCCTTCAGAGCTTCCTGAGAGAACCAGCCCTGCTGATACTTTGACTTTAGCCCAGTGAGACTGATCTCAGAATTCTGACCACCAGAACTGTAAGAGAATAAAGATGTGTTGTTTGAAGCCACTGAATCTGTGGACATTGGTTGCAGCAGTGATGGGAAACGAACCTACTCGTGGAGGCACGGAACTCACTGTAGAGGAGGTACCCTACTCCAACCCCTGCAGGAACAGACGCATCCCTTGTTGTGGGCAGTGGACACGCAGGGGTCCGGGCAGGGGGTTGCCACAGGAGGGGAGCGGAGGGCAGAGCACCCCTCGCCCCGCGCCGGGCCCTCTGCGGGGCTCTGACTACAGAGTAAAGACAGACTCCCCAGGTCACTGTCCAGTCCACCCTGGCCCTGCACCACTTGCGGTCTGAGCACACTGGAATCCTGGCTACTTTTCAGAGGGGAGCTTGTCCCCCAAAGCCCAGGCTGATCACATGGGAATTGAACCCATGGCACCCATCTGCTCCCCAGACCCTGAAGAGAAAAGAAAAGGGCCTTTATGGGCAGGAGACACAGGCTGGGAGCTGCCTTCAAGACCCTGTGAGAGGAGAACCCCCCCCAGGTCGGCAGGGTTGGGGGAGGGAAGGTGTGGTGCTAGCCCCAAGCCCGGGGAGAGAAAGGGGCAGAGGAAGCAGTCAGGTTTCCACGGGTCGGCAGAGTGAAGTGGCTGCCTGTCTACGCGGAGTGAAGGGAGGGGCACTGTGGGGGAGGGACCTGTGGGGGAGGGGCACCGTACCGAGGGGGGAGGGGTGCTGTGGGGAGGGGTGGGGGCAGGGAGGAGCTCCCCGTGAGGGAGGGGTGGGCTGAGGGGAGGAGCCCCGTGGGGGAGGGGCAGGCTGAGAAGAGGAGTCTGGTGAGGGAGGGGCGGGGGGAGGGGCGCACTGAGGGGAGGAGTGAGTGGGAGAAGTGGGGGGGCGAGTGTCGGCTTTTCTCTGAGGGAGTCTGCTCACTGAGGTCCAGGAGCACGTTTGAGTTTGTCCTCTGCCGGGGCTCTGCTGGTGCTGGTGCCTGGACACTGGCCCCTTGGCCCGTGGCTGGGGCTGGGCAGGGGAGAGTCAGGGCAAAGGGGAGGTAGGGGTGGAAGAGAATGGACTTCCAAGTCGGTGGGCCCCTTCTCTTGGGACCTGCTTCTGTGGGCCTCTCATAGCCATACCCCTGGAGCTGATCACCCTGGAGGGTTGAAGCAGTTTCTCAACCTCAGGTCTAAGGGGTTCAATGAATGGGCCCTCAGAGAGGTATGAACCGCCTGAAACCGTGCAAGACTTTATGTGAAGAGTGTGCATGTGTGTTTCTGACAAAAGTGACCATAACTTTCACTCTCAGCAGGGTCCATGATCAGAAAAAGTTAGGAACTCTTGCTATAGAACTTTGGGAGCAGATAGGTAAGGGGCCTGCCAGAGGCTCCCTGGGGACTGCTTGGGTACTTCTGAGACCGATTATCCCCTAGGGCAGGCTGCTTTGCATTGGCAGAGCTGAGAGCGTGGGGGGTGCAGGGACTTTGTGAAATTGCCCTGAGATGACTTCAGCTGTTTCTAGAACAGTCTGACACAGAGACTCACTGGCTGACTCCTAACAAGTCCGTGGCCTGGACCAAGCCAGGCCCAGGGGGAAAGCAGGATACGTCCCTGCAGCATCCTCCATCCTGGTGGTGCCCTGCCCACCCACTCCTGGCCCTGTAACCACATCACCATGAGTATGGGCCATTGGGACAAGCGAAGGAGCTACTGTCTACTCCCTCCCCAGCCATATAGGCCAGTTATCGAACGCTTGCCAGACAGCCAGGCAGCCAGCCAATCTGCCTCACCCCATTTCCAGCCAGGAAATGTCTGCCACCCCAAATTTGTCTGGAGAGCCAGCCTGTTAAAGTCTGCCCCAGACATTGGAGTGAGTCAGAAAGCACACAAGTGGGCCCTAAGCTGGCTGAGCTGGGCAGGGGGCAGGATGGAGAACTCCGCAAGGTCACCCACACAGGAGTTAATTCTGTTCCTAGCTGCTCTGGGAGTTACTGAGTTGGGGGGTGGAGGAAGCAGGAGGAGGGGAGGATGCAGGGCTGGCAGGAAGAAAAAGAAATCCACCTCCGTTGATTTCACCTTCTGGGTAGGGTCCTTTGCTCTAGACCTCACATTTCATTCCTGTTAGAAGCACTTATTGAACACTGGCTATGCTCTAGGTGGGAGTATGGCTGTGAACAGAAGGACAGAATCCCTGGCAAACAGTGGTGAGTGCTTAGAGAAGAATGTTCCCAAGTTCTCACAACCATCCTTCCAGATAACTAGCCTCGCTGCTTTTGATAGCAGAGAAAATGCAGGTTTGCCGGGGTGACCCAACTGGGCAGCTGGGCTGGAACCCGGATCCACCCCCAAAGCTCATGCTGTTCCCACCACGCCTGAAATTAGAGCCTTCCCCAAAGCAGAGTTTCCTAAAACTGAGGGGGATGACATTTGCCGAGTTCCTACTAGGTGCCAGCAGGCCCTTTATACAAGTCCTTTGCTTTGGTGCTTGGGATAAAATGTTAGGTAGCCAGCATACTGCTGCCGCCATTTTATGGATGCAGAAAATTGAGGCTCAGAGAGAGAAAGTAACTTGCTTGAGGTCAGAGAGCTGGTGTGTGAGGCCCAGCCCAGGGCTAACGTAATCTCTGCCGAGGTTTCCAAAGTGCCAGTGTCCACCAGTGTCCCCTAGGACACAGTCGGTAGGAAGTGCTGGACCTTACTGAGTGAACATCTCTGTTTCCTTGGCCAGGCTCAGGTGCGGGGAGAGTCTGGCCCTTTTCTTGCCGAGCACATGACACAGTGGGCTGGGTGGACAAAGCTGCCACATGATCACCAGCGGTCACCGAGCTGGTGAGCCTGGAGTGATCCTTGCTGATCTTGGGCAGTTGCCTCCACTGTTACAAGCCTCCCAGGGTGGTGGGAGAGCTGGGCAGGGGGAGGGAATTGCGTGAGCCAGGCCTGGAGGCTGGAGGACAGGCGGGAGCTGGTGGTGGGACCAGGAGACTGTGGAAAGTGCCGGGCCCAGGAGGGTGAGAGGTTGGCCAGAGAGGGAGGTGGGGCGAGGCTGCAGAGGTCCTGAGGTCTGAAGATTTGCCTGGTGGCAGAAACCACGTGAGGCAGGCTGTCACCTCCACCCTAGAGGTCAGGTGCATTCTTACCCAGAGCAGGCACCAAGAGCTCCAGGGAAAAGCCCCTCTGAGAGAAAGCCACTGTCCTTACCAGTGCTGCCTGCTTCCCAGACCACTTCAGATGCTGAGCCCAAGGCCGGCTTAGGGGGTCAGGAAGCTGGTCTGATGCCCGGGCGATCCCGACGAAGTCCCTGGCTCACCCCCAGTTCTGGGTCCCAAAGGGAACTACAGCCCCGACCCCCTGATGCTGGCTCTCAAGCGAACACGGAGGCCTCAGTGCATCAGGCAGATCTGATCGAGTCCCTTTCCACATAAGGAACCAGGCTCACGGAAGCAAGAGTCCTTCCCAAAGCCCCAGCCCAGGGGCCAGAGTGTTCTCTTGTCCCTGTGACTGGCCCATGCCAGCCTGGGGGCTTTCTCCCACTCTGGAAGCCTGGGAGGATGGCACGAGGCACACACAGCAGCACCTGGCCGTCGGCACGCCCTGAGGGGCAGAGGTGGATAAGTGACGCCACTCCCGCAACGTCACATACAGTCGGCAGCAGCCGGGGAGCGACCCAGGGTGGTTTGCCTCGAATGGAGCCTGGCTCTGACAGAGCTCAGCTCTGCAAGCCCCTGAGGCACAGAGAGCTCAGGGACGTGAGGTGTGCGGGAGCCAGAGTTCAAACCTGACCCTGGGGCTCAAAGTCCGCGCCCTGACCTCTGCCCTGACCACCACTCTGTGTTGACTCCGCACATCCATCACACCCTCGGGCCGGGGCCCACCCCAGCATCCCAGGGACTCTAAGCTGGCGCCCTCTGCACCACCCCTCCTCCTGCTTCAGTATCACCCCTACACAGAGCCTGAGCCACTATGTGGCACCAAGCAGATGCCCCAGTAAATCAGAGTCTTGTCCACTTAAGCCAGAAGCCATCCCCCCGCCTCCCCGCCAGCTTGTTCCTCTCGGCCTCGTGCCTTCTTGGATCCCACCGACAGCTCACAAATGAGCCCTGCGTCAGGGCCGAGGCGCTGGTGTTCAGAACAGGAAGTCTCGGGGTGGTTAATTGGTATTTATGTCCCCAGGTACACACCTCGAAGTTGATGGATGAGGCCTGCCTGCCAGCCTGAGGCAGCGTGAGGGGCTGAGCGGCTGTGCCAGGGCCCTCCCCTCGCTCACCCTGCCCAGAACTGAGTGTCAGCCCCCGCTACCATTGTTACACACTTTGGCACATTCAACTTCCTCCCTCTGCTCCAACCAACTCCTTCCTGCCTCTTCTCCCTAAAGACCGTGGAACTGAGATCAGACAGACCCGAGGTAGACCCAGCTCTGTTTTGGGCTAGCTCTGTGATCTTGGGCAAATTACTTAATCTCTCAGAGCCTCAGTTTCTCCACCTCCAAGCTCTAAAGCGGAGGAGACACATTCCAGGGCCAAGCACGAGGCCTGGGTGTAGCAGGTGCCCTGTGGACACCCCCCACCGTGCCCCCAGGCCCCTCATTCTCAGCGTGTTCCCCCCAAATCTGTGCCCCCTGCCATCCCCAGTAGCCCAAGCCAGAAGTCTGGGATGTCAGCTGGGACGCCCCCTAACATTCGTCACACAGTTCCAGTTACTGTACCTTGTCTACCCACACGTCCCCACCATCAACGTCTTAGATGCCTTCGTCTCTCCAGATACTCCCACCAGCCTCCTCACGGGTGTCCCTTCCCCACCCCCATCTCATTCTGCCCTCCCCCACAGGAAAACCTGCTTAGCCGCCAGAAAGTTCCCTAAAGAGGGAATCTGGTAAGTTTGCTCTTTTATTTACAACCTTTCAGTGGCTCCCTGTTGCCCTCAGGACAAATACAGCCTCGGTTTCAGAGAGGATTTACCGAACCCTTTGCAACTGTCCCCACCACTCCCACCTCACTTCCTGCTGGGGCTTCCCTGTACCTGTCACAGGTCCTCGGCCCACCATGCTGTTCCTGACTCCAGATGGCCTATGCCCATGTTCTTCCATCGTTCCCTTCCCCATCTGCCCTGATTAGCTCCCACTTTAGGACTTGGCTTGGGCACCAGCTCTTCCAGGAAGTCTTCCCTGCCTGCCCAAGCTGGGTTAGGGCCTTCTGGGCTCCTCCAACCCCCATGCTTCTGCCTTTTCTTCCTGCAGAAGAACTCTGCCTAGTAAGTGCTCAAGCGTGAGCGCTGCAGGCCCCTCCCTAAGAGGTTTGCACAAACAGGAAGATGAGAGGGCTGCAGAATTCAGACCTCCTTCCAACTCAACTCCTGCCGGGACCCGCAGGTTGCCCCGGGCCCAGCCTGAGATCCTGCAGGGGGCTCAGTTTGGATGGATTCTCCTGGGCCTCGGAGAATGGCCAGAGCTCATTCAGCCTCTCCTCCAGCCCCCAGTGCCTGCCTGTGGCCCTACAGGACTCACAGCTCTCTCCAAACCAAAGTACTATGACCATCTGCTCTTCCAAGCATTTCATTAGCCCCCCGAAGCCGACTCAGGGGCCTCCGAGGCCGAGCCCAAGCCCAGCAGCAGGCCATCAATCTTCCTGCCAAATCCCATGGCAAAACAGTTTCCCAGCCCCAGGCCAGGCCTTTGGTGGCGGCTTTCCTGGCCAAAGGCTCCTGGAGCAGCCTCTGCCTTGGCATCTCCAGCCCAGCCTCTACATAGCCATGCTGGGGGCTTCCTAGCCACACGTTTGACGGGGCCCATCCTGCAAACCTTCAGGGGCATCACCGCCTGCCTCAAGAATGAGGTTCCTGCTCCCCAGCTGGCCCAGGAGGCCATGTGACCTCACTGCACCCACCTTCCTGGCCTCCCCAGACTTCACCCCTCCTCCCCTGGCTTGCTTCAGCTGCACCAGCCCCCTATTGCTCCTGCCTGTACCCCACCTTGGCACAGGCTGCTGCTCCACCTGGCAGGCCCTTCTCACCTTCGCCAGGAAAACGCATATTAACTGTCGCCTCCTCTGGGACTCCTGCTTGGATTGCCCAGGAAAGCAGGAGTTTCCTTCTCTTGTGCCCTTCAGAACTGCGTGTTCTCCTGTTCTGGCCTCACCACACGGTGCTGTCTTTCCTGCTTTTGGTGTCTGGCTGTCCAGCTAGACCGAGGAGCTCCTGGAAGACAGGGACCAGGTCAGACTCAGGCCCTCTCTGTGTTCCCCTCACGGCATAGCTTAAGGCAGGCACCCAAATGCCTGGAGGGTAAAGGAAAGAAGGAAGGGAAGGGTCGTCTCCCTCTTCATGTATCAAATACCTGTTGTGTGCCGACTCTGGTCCAGGCTATACTGTCGTCCATTAGTCAGAGCCTCCAGTGGGCCAGAGAGACTCACTTCAGAAGCAGGAGGCCCTGGAGTCCAGCCAGGGGCCTGGGCTATACCACTGTCCCTCTGCCAGTTGATTAGAGACCCCAGGCCACTGTGGAAGGCTCCCCCTGACCCACCCCCCCGCCCCAGGCCTGGGGTTTCCTGCAGGTTCGAACCGGCTCTGCCCCTCCCTGGCTAGGTGATCTTGTCTCTTCCCTGTCCCAGATGGAGGCTGTTCCTGACTGGGACCAGTCAGGCACTTGTCCCTGCTCACAGAGCTGACTGAGGAGCGGCAGCCCAGCTGGGTGGCTGCCCAACACCGCATAAACAACCCCCCGCCCCCAGAGATGTTGTTCCCCATTCTACTTTGCAGGCACTCACCAGTGTCGTGTGGCAAACTTTTTTTTTTTAATTTTTTTTTAAATTTTATTTATTTAGTTGACAGAGAGAGACACAGCGAGAGAGGGAACACAAGCAGGGGGAGTGGGAGAGGGAGAAGCAGGCTTCCCGCTGAGCAGGGAGCCCGATGCGGGGCTCGATCCCAGGACCCCGGGATCCTGACCTGAGCCGAAGGCAGACGCTTAACCATCTGAGCCACCCAGGCGCCCCCGTGTGGCAAACTTTGACAGGTGGTGTTAGATGTTTTCCCGTGCTGCCTGGCCTGCCATGGGAGCCCTCTGTGAGGCCCAGGTAGGATCCCAGCTCTGGTCAAGCTACCTCATCTCCTGGAGCCTCAGTTTCCAATTCTGAAAATGGAGGTAGTGTCTCTTGTCGGGGAGGTATGAGTGATGGCCACAGGGAGGTCGAGGCCATGGGGGGGGGCGGTGCTGCAGAAGCGGGCAGCTTCGCACCCCTGCCATCCGGGAAACTCTCCCACTGCTGTGGCCTGAGCCAGCCATGGGAACCTTGGCAGAGACACGGCAGAGAGAACACCAGGCCTGGGGTCAGGACTCCGTGGTGGGCTCTCAAAGCAGTCACTTCCCCAACTGGTCTCAGCCTCCCCCTGTGAAGAGTGACTGACACTCTGACCCCTGGGTCTGGGGCAGGTGGCAGGCAGTGAGCAGGACTCAGCAGCTGCCTACTGTCGGGGAGGGGCCTTCCCGGGGTGCCCAGCAGCCGGGAGGTGTGCCAGGGAGACAAGGAGGCTGAAAGGTCTCAGGCCTCAGCCTGAGCTCATAAATATTATTGACGTGTGGTGGGGGGAAGGGAGGGAGGGAAGTGGGTAGCTCTGCCACCATTGAGATTGATTTATTGGTTAATTAGGAGGTTGCCACAGCCACGGACTACCCTGCTGTGTGCATGGACAGGGAGGGAGGGGGCTACGGGGCAGCCAGGGCTGCCAGCTGGGACCCGAGTGTGGCTCAGCGTCTCACCTGAGCCAGGAGCACCAAGTGACTGAAGGAATAATGCAAGGGGTTGGGGTCAGGCAATGGACCTAGGACTGGGTGGCTGGGGGAAGCCCATCTGGACTCGCTGGCCTGAGTAGCTGAACAGAACTGAACAGAACAGGAAGGGGACCGGGAGCTCTCTGAGGTTTCCAGAGCATCCAGGCAAGTGTGGGGAGCTGTCGGTTTAGGGAAGAAGGCTGATGCAGAATCAGGAAGAACCAAGGAAAACCTTGGAAACCATGGAAACAGGACAGAGGCCCCAAAGGTGGAGAAGGTGGTTCCAGTGAGCAGAAAAAGTTAAACAGCAGTGGGTTTGAATCCAACTTCTGCCAGACACTAGCTGTGTGACCTTGGGCAAATCACTAAAATTTTTTTTTAAAGATTTTATTTTTAAATAATCTCTACACTCAGCGGGCTTGAACCCACAACCCCGAGATAGTCACACGCTCCATTGACTAAGCCACCCAGGTGCCCCAAATCACTAAACCTTGGATTCTTGACTTCTACGTCCCTAGAAATGGAACTAATCATATCTATCCTGCAAAGCTGCTTTGATAATTAGATTGAAGAGTGTAGCACCGCATAAGATACACAGTAAACGCTTCATAACTGCTAAATCAGCTGCTAGTGTTACATTACCCAGGGCACGGCTTGAAAGGGAGAAGGGGCTTGATGAAGGGTGGTGGAGAAAGCAGGGCCTAGAAGGTGCTGATCGAGCTGCAGGGGGCGGGCGGAGGAACTGCCTTCGTGCCAGACTGGCTGTGGCCAGAGTCTGGGGGCTGCCTGAGGGGAGGGGGGGGCGGGCTGCGCTTAGCTGGGTGGACCCAATTTCGCCGCCCAGGGGCGTCCACCGGGCTGGAGCCCCAGCTCAGCCAGTGCGCCTCGGAGGAGTCCTGCCTGGCGCCATCCCCTGGTAGCGTCGTGGCCTGGGGGAAGCGGAACGACAGACAGAGACGGTCACCCCGCAGAGTGGAGGCGGACGAGGTTCATTCCGGTCCTGGGGCAGACGGGGCCCGTCCAGCCTCTCCGGCGCGGGCGGGCTCTTCCCTCGGATCCCCGCCCCGGCCGCCGCCGCCCGCCGCCAGCCTCCCGCGAGGCCCGGCGTCCCCGGGGCAGCCG